TGCTGGGGCTGCTGAGCGGAGGGGTCCCGTGGGCCGCGCCACCCCTTCTCTGCCATGGACGGCGCAGCGCAGGAGCAGGACGCGGTGAAGTTTGCGCAGCTGGCCGTCCAGAAGGACCAAGAAGGGCGATACCAAGAAGCGGCGTTTTACTACAAGGTGCAGGCAGGGGTGGCCGGGCGCCCAAAAGGAAAGCCCCGCGCGCTTGTGCGGGCAGCCGGCATGGAGGAACACGGTCTTCTTAGCAAATCCGGCCGGATGAGCTGTAGAGGCGGGGGCTGAGAGAGGATGGGGCGGGCACTGGCGACGAAACGCTCGCATTTGCTCCGCTGCTTCTTCCCAGGACTAGAATCACTTCCCGCAGCTTCATCAAAGCCGGAGCCTGGGCACTTCCTGGCTGAACCAGCCATTGGGTCAACTGCCTTGAGCTTATTTTTCTCCGTATCAGTCTTATTTGTAGCTCCCATAAATAGAGACCCGATTGGCTGAGGTTAATGTGAGGAGTTGGTGGGGGCTGTTATTCTGTTTCCAGTTCCCTTCTGCACCTGTAAACTGTATCTCTTTTGGAAGTGTGCATGTGTACATGAAGGAGCTGGATAGAGAAAATACAGGGAATCAAACTTATTTGTGATAATTAAATGAGTTGATTTATTTTAATCCACATTTCAGTCCACTGATCCTCATGCGTGTTTGTTGATATACAGATGAACTCTGACCTCAGGATTGCACTGCATGGGATAAGCAGCAAGGGATGAGCAGCACAGTTTTTTAAAATTTGGACTGAATTATCTCTGAGTCTTACACTTTTTTGTAGGCACAGATCTGCACCCTTTAAAATGTGAGACTTGGCATTTTGGCCCTGAGTAGCATAATTACAGTGGGGATGTAGTTATTTCCACAATGGTTGGAAAATCTAATTGTAGCATTGGAACTTTTGTGCAGGAGATGGGATGACTTTATTTGTTCATTCCAAGCATTAGAAGATAAGATAATTCCTAAATGTTTAAGGATCCTAATTTGCTCATTTGGATTACCATTAATCATTTATGGAATCCATTAGCTTGTCAGTTTGTAAATAAAACCACTTTTTTACAGTAATTTCATAATATTTCCTAACTGTAGTTGATGCTTAACATCTGTAACCTCTATCAAAGACTGCCTATGTCAGGAAAGGATGATAGCATCCTCTACATAGAGCAAATTAGATATTAGATTATTATTTAATATTGGGGGTGAAATTCATTTTTGATAGGGCTTGTACTAAAGAATTGATATTAAGATTAAATAGAGAAGGAATTAGAATATATTCTTGTTAACTCCCTTTATGATGGAATTGTGCTTGAAAGATCTCTGAGTGCTGTACACCTGTCCTGCAAATATCTATTTTTTGTAGAGCATCATAATTAGTCTGCTAAGTCTGTTATGGATGTGTTTATTCATTTCTTCCATACTTTCTCCCTGGAGATTGAGTCAAATCTGTGAAGGTACATCAAGAAAGAGAGGAATATTTTCTGCCACATGATTTAGCATGATGCTATAGTGAAGCAACCTGTTCTGCAGCCAAAATTTGCTTTTGATTTAGTCAGTCAGTGAGTTTCTGAAGCAGGTGTTAGGTAGCTAATTTACTAAAAACACAAGTCTCATTGGCCCTAATGTTGGGGTCTGAGGAAGCTATAAAAAGTTAAGCCACGTATCCTGGGATTTGATTTGCAGAAGGACCAGAGTAGGTTCTCTCAGCATATTAACAGCAGCCTGTAAGACAGATCTTTTTCTGTTCCTCACAGAAGAGCATTTACTTCACTAGGCCTTAACATCTGTGGTTCTCGAATGGAGATATGGCAACATCCTCTTCCAAGATAGTATTGCCCTAGTGTGGAAGATGTAATTCTACAGTTGAAGTTCTGTTGTACTGTCCATACCATACTTGGTATTCTAAATTTATATTCCCCTCATTAATGGTTCAGCCTGCTCAAAGAACTAGCATGTGCTCTTTATGTTAACATATAATTCCTCAGAAGTCTCTAAAATGTTTACAAAACTTTGCTCAATCATGCTAGCTGTAAAGAAACTGATTTAATTTAGATTTGGTAGTTTAGATCACTTTTGTTAAAAAGTTATTAGCTATAGTATTGAGGCTACCATTTTACATGCTGCATTGGATATTGTATGGAACTTTGATCTATAACTGTAGGTAAATAAATATTTTTAAAGATAGGGAAAAAAAACTATGATCACATTATCATCATGTTCTATCTACTCTGCCCATAATTCAAGATGCTGGTTAAATTGTTTAGCTGAAAGTTCACATTTTGTTGTTTAGTTTTGGCTTGTTTTTTGTTTTTTGAATCTCATGAAGATTTCAAGGGTGGGTTTTTGAAATGCCTTCCAAGTGCCAATTGTGAATGACAGGCATAGAGGAAAATGTTCAGTAATTGCATACTGTTCCACTAGAGCTGAATAAATCTTATAATTTCCAAGATACATTATACAACCTATTTGAATAGGGTGACCAAAATTATATAGGCAAAGCAATGAAAATTCTGATGTGTGGTGTCAACATCGGAAATGCCTCACAATGGAATGGCTGACAAATCAAGCATCATGAGGACAGTCATTCAAATATAAAGTTCCTAAAGCTAAAAGATACTATGAAAACTAATCTCAGTCCTGCATGGCTATGTTATATGTAGTGAAGTCATAATGAATTATCCTTTTGCCTCCTTATTCCATGTATGTAGATTTTCAAAGCTAATATTTCTATATAAGCTAATTATTTGCAGGAAAAAGCTCACCTTGTTTTATAAAGTGCGGATATTTTGCTTGTTCAGAAATGATCAGCCATACTTTTTCAGACATCTAAGATCATATCCATATGTCTGCTTTGGCTGATCCCAAGGATTTGAACACAGGAATATCCAAGACCATTTATCTAATAGGGCAGCCAGGTACATGCTTTGAACATTATTCACAGTACTTTGGACCTGAGTGAGCACAAGCGCATACTGTACCTCTCTATTACTAAATAAATCAGCCCAACTTTAAGCATTTCTTAATGCAGTAGCATTCTGTTTGGGGCTCATGCATACTTAACTCATGCGTCTATCCCGGTCTCAAAGGCATATCTAGAGCCTGCTTTTAGATATTTGTGGAGTTTAAAGGGCAAAACAAGGTTTAAGCCATCTAATGTGGCCCTTATAACTTTCTATTTAAAAAAAAAAAAAAATTGGCCCTGCTCAGTCAAATGTCACCATGATGTCATTGACCTGACTGCCCTCAGAGCTGATTTAAAAAAAAAAAAAGCTTTAGTTTTACTCACAACTAGAAAGGCAGTTGTGTATAAGTGTGCAAGTTTTGGAAATCCTTTGCAAAATCCTAAAACTGGTGCCAGTACTATGTTTTAATGAATCCTTTGAAAACCACTTGCCACATCTGTTTATACCGATTTATAATTCAGACTATTAGAAAATTTCATACTTGGGCTGTTTTCTTTCTGCAGGAAGCTGCACAAGCTTTGATTTATGCTGCAATGGCAGGATCAACCTTAGAAAATATTCCAGGGAAAATAAGTGAATATTTGGAAAGAGTTCAAGCTTTATATGCTGCAGGTAAGTAAAAAATAAAACATCCTTTCTGCTTTCACTGTCAGACTAGCCAACTATCTTATACAGCATCATCCCCCCAATTCAGAACCACAGTTTTTATACAGGAAATTAATATTCTTCATTAACTCGTGGAATTTACAGAGAGAGGGCCCATCTTTTCTTGCATGGAGGTTTTTGTAAAGTGTGAAATGGATAGAGCAAAAATATACAATTATTCCTCTTAAGCTGAGGTGGTTACTCCCTTTGAAGTTTTTTGCCTTGCACTTTGTTGTTTCAGTCTACCCCAGTTTTTGAGAACTCAGTTTAAATTGTTCATTTGCACAGGGCCTTGCATATGGTTTACCGTAAATACATAGCAGTTTTCACATATAAGCCCGGAGTTGCTGATGAATACTATTTTTATTTATTATTTACCTAGTAGATTTATATCCCGCCTTTTGTGCAGGAGCACAAGGTGGCGTACCTACCACTCCCTCCTTAGTTTTTCCTCACAATAATCCTGCAAGGTAGATTGGGATGAGAGAAAGAGAGAGACTGGTTCAACGTCATCCAGTGGTTTTTAAAGTAGATGGGAATAATATTGCATGTAGTCTGAGTTCTTTGTCAGTTACTAAATGAGACAAGCTAATAATGTTCTTCCTAATTCAGTTCAGTCACAGAGAGTTGATCCCTTGAAATCAAAGCAGCAGCTGGACTTGGAGCGTGCCCATTTCCTGGTTACCCAGGCTTTTGATGAAGATGAAAAAGGCAACAAAGAGGAAGCCATTGAGCTGTACACAGAAGCGGTGGAACTCTGTTTGAAAACAGTACGTTAAGCTACAACTTAACTTGGTGGATTTATGTTATGGTAAGAAATCCTTCCATTTATTCAGGTCACTTTCAGGCAGGGTGTGTGCATACATCCATTTTTTTCTTGATTGTTTTAGAAACTTGAATATACAACATCCAACAATGGAGCCAACAAGAAAGACTATGAAAGGGAGTAGAGAAAATCTCCTTTTTGTGGTGGGAAATTTCAGTTAGGTAAACAATTAACCAGTGTTTTGCATCAGTTTAGCCCTTTAAATTACTCTCCATTTTTTAAAGTGGAAAATATGATGTATGTGCACATCCTTCACCCCTGGTTAAAAAAGTGGTACCTGTGTTTCTATTCAGGAAAGTATGTTTTTTCCGGATTTGGAATACTGTAGGGAATGGCCTGTCCTGGGCCTTTGTTTCATGTTTATTTGAACATTTTTCATATTAAACATTCTAGAACAGTTTTAGTTACTTTTTCCAACGAATGTATTACAGTATATGCTGCTGAAAAAGGAACAGAGGATTTGAGAGTTTTTCAGCCCCTTTTCCCCACATAACTCTGATTTCTATTCCTGATCTATTGAGTTAAATGCTAAGGGTTGGAGCTGAATGAAATTAGTTGCATTCAGCAGTTGTTGAAATCAGTGAGACTTGGTTGTGGTTTTAATGAACTTTCTCCAGTGATTTCAGTGAAAGCTATGACTAGATAGATTACATCACAACCTTATATTGTCTTTTGAGTTCGTAGAAACCTACTCCAGATAACTGCAGTGTTTCAGGTCTCAAGGAAAAAGGAAGCTTCAGAGCGCATGAGGGTGTTCATATAACACCTCTCTGTAACTCCCATACTTCTTTTCCTGGGGTCAGGTAGCAGTTATGGAAAATAGTTGCCCAATTCTGGGAAAAGATACCGCTCACATCAAAGCACAATATAGCTGTAGGCATCTGGTTTGCAACCTCAGTCTTAATCCGATGTTAATACTTTGAATGTTGCAGGTACCACTTTTTTATACTATTTTAATGAGTAGGCAAAACTTCTTAGAGGAAGAGCTCACAATCATGATGTAACTCCACCAAGTATGATCTCTTCTCTTCTCTTCTCTTCTCTTCTCTTCTCTTCTCTTCTCTTCTCTTCTCTTCTCTTCTCTTCTCTTCTCTTCTCTTCTCTTCTCTTCTCTCTGAAAGAATCTTTGTATTTTGAGTCATATTGAATTTAGTTTTGCTTTATTTCCTTAAATTCTTAAAATCTTCCCTCTGTTTTAAGCGCTGGGGTTAACATTACTAGATCTGCTTTGTTCATTAATTGAAGCTGGACCTAATTAGGGTGGAATCATTTTTTCCTCTTCCTTTCAACAATAACTATATGATCAATGATTGGAGGACCACAGAACTGTTTTGTTCCAGTTGGAGAATTATGGTTAATTAGAGGGTTGGATGGATTACAATAAGGGAGTTTTCATGACAACTAGCCAACTACATTTTCACCTAGTAGGTTGTATGACTGCAGCATGTATACAATAATTATGGTACAGTGTGCTGTGTGAACCAAAAATTGGGTTAATTAACTGTGGGTGAGCATGTCGTGTGGATAAAACCATTGTGAAGTGGCTATGTACACGTGCAAAAGTCTCACCTGTACCTCTGAATACCAAAACATGAACATAAGAAATGACTTGGTGGTTTTAGTTTTTATTCACTGTGCAACATCAGCTTCTAGTCAACTGTACTTGAGCACCTTGATTTTATCTATTGGTGTGGGAAAGTGCTAATAATAGTCTGATGTGAGTATACTTTCTCTGTTTTCTATAAACACTTGTGTAATAAATGTCAATGATACCTAAAATTTACTGACAGCTGATTTATGTATACACTACTAAACAGACTGTTTTCCTTTGCTTACTTATTTTTCAATATTCCAGTCTAATGAAACATCAGAAACAGTTCTCCAAACAAAACTGAAGCAGCTAGCTCGGCAGGCATTGGACAGGTAAATTTCTTGGAATTTTGTACACGTACAGTATATTATATGATAGCTTCCATTATTTCATCTCTTACAACGCTGTGTGTGGTAGGCAGGGGAGAGACCAATACTTTTCAAACAACTAAAAAAAAAGTTTCCAAATTTATTCATAACCATCACTGCATTTTATTCAGATTATAACAGCCTACAGCAAAATAATTTATCTGCTATTTTCATAATTCTCACAATGTAATGTACAAAGGAAAAGTATAAAGCATGAATTGACATCAGGGTCACCCTAAATGCCCCCCTTTCCAGTTTTAAATAATTGACTTGGTTGGCTAGGAACCCTATGAAATTTGTTCTGCAACATCTGGAGAGCCTTAGGCTTCCACTCGGTGGACAAGGGATTATAAAAGATGGGAGAATTTCAAGCACCGTACTCACAATTCAAATGATGATCTGGAGGACTAGGACATAAAACATGTCTGAAGTGTACAAGAAGGCATTTTAGCTGTTCAAAAATAATGCTGATTTTTTTTTTCATTATGGTTTGTCCAATGTTGATATAAAACAAGAAGGCTTGGCATAATTTTTAAGTCAGAAAGTTTATATGTAACCGTAGCTTATATGCATATGAGTTATATTTTGTGTAAAATAACTTGGAGTAATAGAGTTGAGCTAAATGCCCAGCTACTCATCAGTTTAATTGGTGAGAACAGAATCCAATTATTTATTTGAGACATGGGGATTTTATGTCTTCAGGGAAGCATATGAAAGTAAAGGTTTAAGAATGAACCTATTTTTCTTGCTGTATTTCAATTGCCAACTCCTTTAATTTAATTGTAGAGCTGAGGCACTGAAAGATTCAAAGCCATCTCAGAAAGACAAGCCAGCTCCAGTGAAGCAAAATCAGCCAGTGAGAACTTTCTTCCCATTGGGACCTGATTTTTCCTTGAATGATAAGCCACAGTCTGTCAGACCTATCCATGCTAGTGAACCTCAAGGTCAGCGATACACTGTAGAGGAGATCCAAGTGCTCAGGTAAGGGAGGGAAAATATATTCTGTAACATGTTTATATAAAACATAGTTCCTGATCTAGGCTGCAGTCTAGCCTATTGAACAGAATGCGGCTAGCTAACTTTTAAATAAACGCGTATAGGATTGCATGCTGAAAAATGCTATTTTAGAGATGATTGCAGATTGTATAGACCACAGTTGCTATTTCATGGCTCTTAAAGCCAGCATGCAGACTTGTTAATAGATGACTGTATTCAGAAGTTCAGAAAGTCAATCACATTTTCCCCAGGAAGCAAATGAAAGAAGGAAAACAATTGCTAATAGTATGGTTTGAAGCTTCCTTCAAGCCAAGCTCAGCTCCTGATGACTTACAGTCAGGTCCAGAAATATTGGGACATCGACACAATTCTAACATCTTTGGCTCTATACACCACCACAATGG